AGTTTCCAGAATTCTCATCCTTTGACCATGCAGTCAGGAAGTTGCACTCCGTTACATCTGGACCTTCTCCAAGTTGAAGAAGGAGGTTCTAGTCTCACTTGAGGGATTTTGTTGTACCCCTAAGTGTCAAGATTTTTCACATCAGTTTCAGTTACACTCCTTGATTCCTATTCAAATATCTGGTATTGGAACTGGAAATTATTTAGAATTCTCTTTTCACTCAGCTGTCTTGCAGGTGTAAGTCATCACTGGATATTGATGTTGAACTCAATGGCTGACTTATATAACATTATAGCTTTGAGCTATAATTTGATCTAATCGGGGTCAGTCTTGCCGTCAACCAAGTAATCAGACTTATTCAGCAGATACTTGACTTTTCTGTTTCTTTGGAATTCAGAAAAATTGACAGGGCACAAACAAAATCAGCAGTAAGGCTAAGATTCTAGATTCAGACATGATGATAATATAGTTTAAAACAAAGCAAGATTTGTAAACCAACACCAAATTGCAGTTTCAGTTATAGTGTCATTTCTTGCCAAAATTAATCATAGTTTCTTTCTTAGGATGGGTGTGCACATCATGCACAGCCATAAATAAAACCCAAATTATAGTTTATTAGCATTATGTGCAAACTGTACCAATCATTGTTATATCCAGTAATGATTTGCAGATAAAATTTTATTTCTAAAACATATAACTGCACTCTCTAGGTAGCTAAAGGAAACTGAAAGTGCTTGTCCTTTGACATGACTCAAGTACAGTATCTTTTAGTGGACATTCATACATTAAGCTGGCATTCATAGGCATATAGTCACCTTGTGTAAGATGGGCAGCTATACAGTTATGATAAATAAATAAATATGTACCTGTATGAATAGGTTCTTATGTTGTTTACTACTTCCGCCCAAAAAAAACCCCAGAAAAGCCTAGCAACAACTGCATATCAAACCGTTTTGAAAGTGAAATTACATTGGAACAAAACTTTTGCATGTCACTGTAGCACAATTGCTTCACTTGAAATTTTAGTCCTCCAAATATTTAAAAATGATACAGGTAGTCCTCAACTTATGACCACAACTGGGACTGGAACTTCCATCACTAAGCAATGTGGTCATTAAATAAGTCACGTCTGATTTTGCAACCTTTTTTGCCACAGTCGTTAAGCAAATCCAGCTTCCCCCATTGATTTTGCTTGTCAGGAGCCCCCTGGGCAGGTCGCAAATGGAGATCATGTGATCTCAAGACGCTGCAACTATCGTAAATATATGCTGGTTGTCAAGTGCCTGAATTTTGATCACATGATATGATGCTGCAATTAATGTGTGAGGACTGGTTATAAGTCACTTTTTTCAGTGCCATTGTAACTTTGAACAGCCTTTAAACAAATGGTCATAAGTCGAGGCTACCTGTAGTAGTAACGTGCAGGTGC